TGGTGCCCAGTATGGCACTCCAGAGCTGCTTACCAATTCTCCATGGATGTGGGCACCTGCCGGGTAAAGGGCTCTGCCCCAAGGTTAGAGAGGAGCTGAGAAGCACCCTGAAGACAGGAAAGGGAGCAATTCTAGTTTTATCCTCCTCATGATTTCATGAAGCTGGAGTAGCCCCAACCAAACCTCCTGCATGCTTTGCTGCAGCTCTGATAGTGCCAGAGGCTGTTATGGGCCAATCCGTTCTCAAGATTCCTGGGCTGTGGGTATCTGTGTACGCGGAGGCCTGGCTATCTACCTGGCTGCACAATCCTCACATACTAACCATCCACCCAGACCACCATCTTCAGTGGAAATGCTACATTTAGAGACAACATACTTGCAAGAGGAGGAACCGTCTGCTTCTTAAGTTTAAATAAATGTTCCACACCACTCTTGCTTTCATCTGGCAAGGAAGGCTTTTTTTTTAAACAGACAACTGAGAAAAGGTGATCATTTACTTGAAGTAGGTTACTGCTCTGCTTCTAAAGAAGGAAATGAACTCATCGGTTTGTTTAATGGTTGAACCTTTATTGTTAAAAACTGGTTTGGCCAATTTTCTGCACGTTTGATCTTCACTATGGGGATGACAATCTTATGGTAGGGAGGAACAGTCCTCCCTGCCTTCCTCCCTGGACCCTCCCCTCACCAATCTTGCTGAAACTGAATTTGAATTGATTAGTTTCAATTCAATAATAAAGGCTAAAGAGAGACATGGAATTTCAAATACTGAGCTTCGTTTGGCCTCCTAGAGAGGCAATAAAGTTCCCGATGTCACAATATTATTCCTTCTACAACCACTGGGAGAAACAGCAGTCCACCCCTAAGCATAGGGTGGAAACACTCCTCCTAGATTTCTGCATCCCAGGAGTTACGGTGCACTGCTTCTTTCCAAGGGAGGAGTGGTCCCTGACTGCGCTGCTCTTTTAAATTTGATCTCTGTCCATTGCATCCATCACTGCTCGGTAGTTGGAAAGAGGCAGTGGCAGCCATGGTTGGGTGGGCCTGGCTTTTAGAGTTATGCTGGCTACATGGTCACAGCAGTAACTGCTTTAAGATGACGAGGTGCTCGGACCCTTGCTGGGCAATGCAGCCTACCCCGTTGTGCCATCAGGCCCTCAGGGTCAAGGAGCAGCTGGATGCTGCGTACATCAAATATCGCTTGCTATTAGTACTTTTTTCTGGTGACAAAGGGCATTGCACCACCAAAGAGGTAGCAAAATCGCATGTCCCCAGACAGCTTTCATAGTCTCCAGAAAGGTTTGAAAATTTAAAAATAAACCTGAGGTCTGACTCACAGATAAGCAGTTCCATGGACACCTGGAGTCAATAAGAACTGATGCCAGGCCTAGACAGAAGTGATAAATGTCGTTTTTAAAAATACTGGGCTGGGTGTGGTGGCTCACGCCTGTAATCCCAGCACTTTGGGAGGCCAAGAAAGGCAGCTCACCTGAGGTTGGGAGTTTGAGACCAGCCTGAGCAACACGGAGAAACCCCATCTCTACTAAAAATACAAAATTAGCCGGGCGTGGTGGTGCATGCCTGTAATCCCAGCTACTCAGGAGGCTGAGGCAGGAGAATGGCTTGAACTTGGGAGGCAGAGGTTACAGGGAGCCGAGATCATGCCATTGCACTCCAGCCTGAGCAACAAGAGCAAAATTCCATCTCAAAAAAAAAAAATTGAAATTCTATTGACATATTTGGGAAAAGACCCCCAAGTCAAGGAAAAAGAAGCAAAACCAAGAAATGGGCAAGTAAGCATTTAGTGTTCCTCTGGAAGCCGACTCAGGCACGGCTGACAGCTCAGTGCTCGGGCTGCTCATGTCCCTTCTGTGGATGCGAGGCAGCTGAAGGCCTATGTGACCTGCTCATGGCTCCTGTCGCCAGGAGGAGATGAGGAATGTGGGGCAGATGTCACAAGAAAAGCGGAGCATGAGGGGTGGCCTGGAGAGCAACACCCTGGGAACGTTCTGCTGGCTCAAGGCCATGGGAGGCGGCGAGTCTCTGTGGTGACCACAGCTGAGCTCAGGTTAAAACTGTGGATCTCTTCAAGAGGAAATTCAAAGCCAGTATCATTTTAATCACACACACCACACACATGGGCACATACACACTCACAGTATTTTAGAGAGAAAATGTCTTCAAATGCCTGAAACTGTAACAGCAGGAAAAGCTGTGGTTTGGGGTTCAAATTCAGGTCTGCGGGTAAAGGAAGGATGGATTTCTTGATACCTTTCTCTGATTCTAAGCCAGATCCTTTGTTCACTACTTTCTAGACACCCAAAGGTGGGAGAAAAACAAAAGACTTGAGAGTCCCAATGCAGGATGTTTCATCTTAGGAGGGGCCCTGGCAACCCAGGCCTGACCTCGAGGGCGCAGAGCGACACTTCCTCCATGTTGATAATAGAGTCTGGCTGAGGGGGGTTTCGGTTCTCCCTCCCAGACATTTTTCAGTTTCTCCTCTTTCTGCTTTCATCTACTTGACATAACTGGGTCTCTCCTCATCACTCCCCTGGACAGTCCCCTGGACAGTGGGCCTCTAGGCAGGACAGAGTTTCCGAGACTGATGATCTCCTTCTGCTTCTCCTGCCCTTTACCGACTCTCCACTCCTGATGGTCTCCCACGAAAACCTGCTTTAACTACACAGTGGGCTGGCCTCCCAGTCAGCACCGATCAGGCAAGAAACCCTGGTTCCATCCTCTCTCAAAAGTCAATTTCCACATCCGAAGCAGGGGCTGGTGAACAACACGTGGTGTTTCCCACCCCCGGAATGGCTTCATATGTGCCAGGTGGAACGGGACCCTGAAATCCATCCCAGGAATCATTAACATCCATAGTCTCAAATCATGTGTTTAAGCTACTCAACTAATGAGAAGTGAAGTACCTGCCCTACTTCATCCACAGGGGGGCGTGGCTGTTCCCTAACTCACCCCTGTGAGGGTGCCTGTTATTCAGCAGCACAAGACGGGTTTCTTGAATACGTTTTGATTAAACAGGTACAATGTAAATAGAGATGCTGTCTTTAAACACCTGAAACTGAAATTCCAGGTCCTTTTTTAAAAAAAAAAAAAACTGTTGTACATTTTCTTTCAGGGTTGTTAGAATCACATGTCACCAGACTTTCCTATTTAGAGCCTAACCATTTTTTGGGCCAGCTTTTGGGGGGCAGACTGGGGTGGGAGGAAAAAATATGAACGTAGGGCATTTCAATAATTATTGCACAGTTTTCATGTTTGAAAGCAAACCTGAAGCCATCAGATCTTGTTGACACTTTTCTAGTAAAGTCTTTCATTTTAGGAATATTTTAAGCCCTAATAAATAAAAATCACTGAAGGCCTGTACTTCAACTAAGCAATGCTGGAAAGGAATTCCACTTAAGTGACTCTTTTTAAGGTAAAAACCAGGAAGCGGGTGCATGGACAAGAGCTTGGGTCAGAGGCACCACCTTAGGGAGGTTGGTACACAGTCAGCCAGTGGCTTACGGCGAAAAGCATTTCCATAGCAAAACTCCACGACCTTTCTCTAGTCCCCAAAGGTTACCAGGAAAGGACAATAGACAGCAGATTCCCTTCTTAATTAACATTTTTATTAAATAACCCATTTCAAATAATGGTTAAATTCTCTAAATTTATATCATTCTATTAACTATAATCTAATCTCATTAACCTTGAAATCCCAGTCTTAACTACCCAATTCTATACACCATGGTACTATCTACTAAACTAATTAAGTGACCTTCAAACTATTTCTCCTCCACGCAAAAATCATTGTTATTTTTTTCCACATAGTTTTTTGTTAGATCTCTCTTGGTATCACTTCCTGTGAACGTGGTTGCCAAAGGCCCCGATCTGGGAAGAACTTTATCAAAATCAAATCATATACAGTAATCTCACTTTACTCACTCAAACTGGTTTATTCTGCAGCACTCCCCTTCCTGTCCCCAGCCCCACCCTCTAGCTGCCCAGTAGCTTGCTGCCTCTTTTGTGGCCTAAAGATCCTGTGAAGGGCACTGAGTGTCTGCGGTAGGAGCATACAGCTCTATGCTTTAATCTCCAACCGGGAGTTGGGGGAGGGCTGGGGGGCGGGAAGAAAGTGACAGCAGCTCCCTCTCTACCTCCAGGCTTCTCTAAAGCAGTGTCCTTGACTTTAAATGCCACGACTCTAAATACTGATTCTTGATCACTCTAGTCCTCCATTTCACATCCGTAAGCAGAAGATATAAAAGGCTTACTGTTAATTCCGACTTTCTTTTTCTTCCTTTCAACACTCTGGTCAAGCAAAAGAGAGATTCCAGAGCTGTACTCGCACTTTCTTATGAGCATGCACACAAGCTCTACTGCTTTTCTTCACCCCACCTTCATGAGAGCCCCCCAATCCCAAGATGTTCTCAGCTTTCTAAATTTGTGTTCTAAATCTTTTAGACAGGCTCATGCAATTGGGGTAAAATATGTTAAGACAAAATTTGATTTATTTTATATTATTATTATTATTTTTTTTGAGGCAGAGTCTCGCTCTGTCACCGAGGCTGGAGTGCAGTGGTGCCACACCGCAACCTCTGCCTCCCAGGTTCAAGCGATTCTCCTGCCTCAGCCTCCTGAGTAGCTGGGATTACAGGCGTGAGCCACTGTGCCCGGCCTTGATTTTTAAAAACGCAGCAAGGGTCAGGCAGGGTGGTTCATGCCTATAATCCCCGCACTTTGGGAGGCTGAGGTAGGCAGATCCCTTGAGGTCAGGAGTTCAAGACCAGCCTGGCCAACATGGCAAAACCTCGTCTCTATTAAAAATACAAAAAATTAGCTGGGCATGGTGGCACATGCCTGTAATCCCACCTACTTGGAAGGCTGAGGCAGGAGAACCACTTGAACCCAGGAGGCGGAGGTTGCAGTGACTTGAGATTGCACTACTGCACTCCAGCCTGGGCAATGAGAGCTGGTACACAGTTCCTAAGTACAAAGCATGAGGCTTTCTGTTAGCAGAAGCCTCCCAGTGGGAAACCAACTTGAAGCAGCAGGAAACAGACACTAACCCTAGGGGCAGCGGAGCTAACCAACAGAAGAAACAAAAAACATTTCTAGGATAACTAGTACATGTACAGTTTTTGGTGGCCATCACCTTGGAAGTATGGGCATTTAGCATTTGTAATATCAGACATAACGCAAAACCCCAATCCAATCTATCATCAAAGAATCCTAGACTTAGAACAATCTTCAGTCTTCTGTTCTCACATCCTACCCAGTGGGAAGCTTGCTGCACGTGTGCGGCAGCTTACCTGTGGCTCTTTTGGAGCACCTCATCATATCTGATTGGTTGCTAAGCAGAAAAGAACCAAACTTCTCCATGCCCTTCTCCATTTCATATCTTGAAATGGCTCATCTGCCCATCAAGATCAGCCTAACAAATGAGATAGACCACCTCAGTTAGCTGTCATGTTGCCAGGTGGCCAAGTCTTCCTGTAATCTCACCTGAACGCCCTCTCCTGTGAGAGCTGAGCAAGACTGGATCTGCCAGACTCGGTCGCGGATGGTATGCAGGTTCAGTCCTTCTGCAATTTCAGAGGCAGGGGCTGCCGTGAGCAAATCCTGCTTATTAGCAAAGATGAGCACTGGCACGCAACTTAGTTTTTCTTCCTCCAGTAATTCCGCTAGTTCCTAGATTTACAGAAGGCAAAGAGAAGGAAGGATAAAATCTATGATATTTAACCATGCACTTCCTTTTTTTTTTTTGAGACAGAGTCTTGCGTTGTCACCCGGGCTGGGTCATAATTCTGTTTCACCAATCTCTATCTCTAAAACATGCATGCACATGCTTCACAATGGCGTGATCTTGGCTCACTGCAACTTTGGCCTCCTGGGTGCAAGTGATTCTCCTGTCTCAGCCTCCTGAGTAGCTAGGACTACAGACATGCACCACTACACCCAGCTAATTTTTGTATTTTTAGTAGAGATGGGGTTTTGCCATGTTGGCCAGGCTGGTCTACAACTCCGTATCTCAGGTGATTACCCACCTCAGCCTCCCAAAGTGTTGGGATTATAGGTGTGAGCCACTGTGCCCAGCCTTATTTTTTTTTATTTTTATTTTTTGAGACAATGTCTTACTCTGTCACCCAGGCTGGAGTGCAGTGGTACAATCACAGCTCACTGCAGGCTCATCCTCCTGGGCTCAAGCGATCCTCTCAACTCAGCCTCCTGATGAGCTAGCTGGGACCTCAGGTAATTACCACCATGCCCAGCTAATTAAAAAAAATGTTTTTGGCTGGGCGCGGTGGCTCAAGCCTGTAATCTCAGCACTTGGGGAGGCTGAGGCCAGCAGATCACCTGAGGTCAGGAGTTCGAGACCAACCTGACCAATATGGTGAAACCTTGTCTCTACCAAAAATACAAAACTAGCCAGGCGTGGTGGCATGTGCCTGTAATCCCAGCTACTTGGGAGGCTGAGGCAGGAGAATTGCTTGAACCTGGGAGGCAGAGGTTGCAGTGAGCCGAGATTGTGCCACTGCACTCCGGCCTGGGCCACAGAGCAAGACTCCATCAGGGTCTTGATATGTTGTCCAGGCTAGTCTCAAACTGCTGGGCTCAAGGGATCCTCCCGCCTCAGCCTAACAAAGTTCCAGAATAATAGGCATGAGTCATCACACCTGGCCCATACAATACATTTGAGAAACACTGTTCAAGGGAGAAAACAAGAAGTGGTTTGAGATTCAAAACTTACCCAAAGTTATTTCCTGCAAATAACTTTCAATGCGTGTGTGTGTGTGTTGTGTGTGTGTATAAAATTTAAAATGAAAATGACAATTACTTTAGAGACAATTCTGTCTCATCGATCTCTATCTCTAAAACATGCATGCACATGCTTCACATTTCATCAACGCTACATCCTAAAATAACTTTATTAGTCCATCTGGCAAGGTCCCTGATATTCAGGTTATAGGTTGGGGTCTAAAGTATATGTGATTCTGTTTGCAAAAAGTATAGGAGAGGGTGTATATGTATTTCATGATAGGATCCACCTTTTTTATTAAATCCACATTTTAGCTACTTAAAACACCAGCTTTCAAAGAGAACTGTATGGATCAAGAGGCAGATGACTACATAGGACCCCCTCCACCTCCAAGCTCATATTTCACATGAGTGATAATCTAGAAATCATCAGGATATGAAAGGGTGGTGGGCTGTCTCCAGAAGTCTGGAGAGTTCTCAACTCAATTTCAAAAAAAGGGACATAAACATGAGGACTGCTACCTTTAGAAGGCCACCTGTGGTCATTTAGGATACAGGCCAAGGACTCTGCAATGAGAACTTCTTAAAAGACATTTTAAAATTAATTTAAAAGTTGAACTTCTTTTTTTTTTTTTTGAGACGGCATTTTGCTCATGTTGCCCAGAATGAAGTGCAGTGGTGCCACCTCGGCTCACTGCAACTCCCGCCTCCTGGGTTCAAGCGATTTTCCTGCTGCCAACACACCTGGCTAATTTTTGGTATTTTTAGTAGAGAGGAGAGTTTACCATGTTGGCCAGGCCAGTCTCAAACTTCTGACCTCAGGTGATTTTGCCTACCTTAGCCTCCCAAAGTGCTGGGATTACGAGTATGAACCACCGCATCTGATCTTTTTTTTTTTTTGTAGAGATGAGGTTTCTCCATGTTTTCCAGGCTGGTACAATGAGATCTAAGCATGCTTCTGCAAATCAGTTCACTCCACCCCTTGCCTCTTCTATCAGTGAACCCACTCTGGATAAATTCCCTTCAGTTCTCTATGTAAAATTTTGTACACAAATGACATCGTGTAGTCATGTTGACATGTGCCCTGCATTTGAAGCCATATTTGGGTTCAAGGTACATCCCACCTCCTGGCTTAAAAATAAGAGCAGCTAGTTTTAGGTTGTGCATTTCTTCCTGTCCTTTCAATTTGTCAAAGTTACCCCTGAATCAATTAAGTAGTACTGAAAAATGTAAATTAAAATGAAAAGTGAATTGTTCTTCTGGGTTCATTTTCACATGGTCTGTGAAGAAACCTGAAGAGTTTTGGGGCATGTTGTTAAGTTCGACTTGTCTGTATCTTGTATATTCAATTTGATTAAAGCTAAAGAGCTTTAATCAAAAAATTGTTTAGGCTAGGCACAGTGGCTCATACCTGTAATCCTAGCACTTTGGGAGGCTGAGGCGGGCAGATCACCTGAGATTAGGAGTTCAAGACCAGTCTGGTCAACATGGTGAAACCCGGTCTCTACTAAATATACAAAAAAATTAGCCAGGTATGGTGGGGCACGCCTGTAATCCCAGCTACTCGGGAGGCTGAGGCAGGAGAATTACTTGAACCTGGGAGGTGGAGGTTGCAGTGAGCTGAGATTGTGCCATTGCACTCCAGCCTGGGTGACAAGAATGACACTCTGTCTCGGGGTGAAAAAGGAAACAAACAACAAAAAGAATCCAAAAACTGTTTAAAGGATTCAGCTGATTTCTTTTCAGACAACTGGTAGTTTTGTCTGCTTGCTAGAATAACTGTCTTGTTCGAACTGTAAAGTTTAACCAAAAAAAGCCAAACCTCCTGCACTCTCACACATTTATAAGGTTGATTAATGAATAACCAGTTGTTTGGGAACTATCTCAACAGAAGAACTAATATTTAAAAAAATATAATTGGCCGGGCATGGTGGCTCATACCTGTAATCCCAGCACTTCCGGAGGCCAAGGCGGTTGGATCACAAGATCAGGGGATCGAGACCACCTTGGCCAACATGGTGAAACCCTGTCTTGTAAAAAAGAAAAAAAAAAAAAAGAGAAAGAAAAAAAAATACTTGACCTTTCATATAAAACAAAAGAATTATTTACCTGACCCGTCTCTTCAAATCTTTTTCTGTCTGCACTGTCGATTACATATATCTACAGAGGAAAAGAAGAAGGTTATTTCAGTGAGCAGAGATGGAAAAGACAGGGCAATTTCTGCAAAAGGAGCAGGTGATCCCCAGTCAGCATATTCCAATGAGCACAGCATACAGAAATTGGCGATTCTCATCTCATTTATGAAGGCCAAATAAATAAACAAATTAATTAAATAGGGATGCCTAGAAAATACCTTCAGCAACACTTCAAAGTCTAGGAATTCAGGAAAAACAAGCAGGATAAAATAGCTACATTTAATGGGCACTTGATGTGTCACTAAACATTCTTCCTAGGTCTACTCTATTAACCCTCATTACAACTCTACAATCTAGATTTCACTATTTTCCCATTTTATCCATAAATAAACATAAACACAAAGTCAAGTAACTTGCCCAAATTATATCTGGTACTTGAGAAAACTGGGATTCAAACTCAAGCACGTAAGTCCATAGCTGCCCTTAACCTGTCTGCTATACTGCTTCCCAGACTGTCAGAATGGAAGGAATGGTGTTGTGAGGCATTTACAATCCTATATTGCACAAATCTCAAAGTACCATTTGCAGCATTAACTATATGCTGACTTCAGGGGCTGATAACAAAAGAGACACAGTTGGGTTAAGACCAAATACTGGAAACAGTAAGGGCACAGTCTTTGCCAGAAGCAAGAAAAGTGTTGAGATTTATCGTAAGCTACAGATCCCAAGATTTCTCCCCATCCCTGAATATTAGTTATTGCATGAATAATATCCTACAATAATAAGAGAAATAAGGTAACACATACACAAGAAAAAGAAAGAAAAAGAAAGAAAGAAAGAAGAAAGAAAAAGAAAGAAAAAGAAAGAAAGAAAGAAAGAAAGACCAAAACACAACAAAGGTAGGTCACCTATAGTTATGCCAGCCAAACACATTAACTATTTTAATTTCCTATGGAAAGTTCCCTTTTAACCCTCCTTCATATGAAAACTAAAAAAGCAACATAGAGATATACTTTGGTAGTTTTTTTTTCATTAAATGATGTATTAAATGTTTTCTCCCTAATCTAAAAATTACCAATCTTTCAAACTTTAATGAATTAAAAATTGCTATTAGACTAATGATAAAATGGAAACATTCTCTTTTAAAAGGGCATATCCAACTAAAAACACACACGATCTTCAGTTCTCACCATTACATACCTTAAATTACATAAGTTACAAGCATGTTTGTACTTAAGTCAAATTCTATGCTACACTGAAAATCTGCTCTTTAGAAAAAAATAAAATCAATTAAAATTCCTCCACTTAATGCTCTATTTAGAGTCAAAAATGCTAAATATTATAACAGAAACCAAGTTCAGCTCTTTCTCTCAAGAACACTCTATATTTCAGGGCCAGGCATGGTGGCTCATGCCTGTAATCCAAGCACTTTGGAGGCCAAGGCGGGTGGATCACCTAAGGTCGGGAGTTCAAGACCAGCCTGACCAACACAGTGAAACCCCGTCTTTAAAAAAAAAAATTTAAAAAAAATTTTTTAAAAAAGAATACTCTATGTTTCTACTTAAGAGAATCATAGGAGAGAGGGTGAATATGTTTGGTGTCAATATTTTTTGTGGCATTTTCATTATTGTTCATTATTATTATTGTACTCTGATTTAATGTCAATACGTATGCACTAATGAGCTCTGCACACTGCAGATACCCAACATTCTATGCTGTCTGATAAGTCACTAGGCAGAATATGGTGGTCACTCAGTTTTCTAGGAGTGAGGCTCACCTAGAAGTAGCAGGCAGAGTATAAACACAGGTAGAAGAAATGCAATGGGAGAGTGAACCTCAATATAAAAGATGTCATTCAAATTATTTGGTAGTCTACGGTAGGCTAGAGTGATCTTCACTCAAGCAATAGTCCAGGAAGATGTGAGGGAGAGCTGGGCACAGTGGCTCATGCCTATAATCCCAGCACTTTGGGAGGCCAAGGTGGATGGATCACCTGAGGTCAGGAGTTCATGACCACCCTCGCCAACATAGAGAAACTCCATCTCTACTAAAAATACAAAAATTCGCCGGGCATGGTGGTGCACACCTGTAATCCCAGCTACCTGGGAGGCTGAGACAAGAGAATTGCTTGAATCCAGGAGGTGGACGATGCGGTGAGCTGAGATTGCACCACTGCACTCCAGCCTGGGCGACGGAGTGAGACTCCGTTTCAAAAAATACATATATAAGGCCGGGCGCGGTGGCTCAAGCCTGTAATCCCAGCACTTTGGGAGGCTGAGGCGGGTGGATCACTGGGAGGCTGACGCGGGTGGATCACGAGGTCAAGAGATCGAGACCATCCTGGTCAACACGGTGAAACCCCATCTCTACTAAAAATACAAAACATTAGCTGGGCATGGTGGTGCGTGCCTGTAATCCCAGGTACTCAGGAAGCTGAGGCAGGAGAATTGCCTGAACCCAGGAGGTGGAGGTTGTGATGAGCCGAGATCGCGCCATTGCACTCCAACCTGGGTAACAAGAGCGAAGCTCCGTCCCCCCCCCCCCAAAAAAAATACATATATATATATGTGAGGGAGAAAAGAAAGATGGGGTAATTGCTAGGAGTGTCTGGAGCTCAGAGGGCTGCTTGGTGGCTATGTACAGGTCATCTAGCAAGAAAAGAATCACAAAGCAGGAGAAAGGTGTGCTGGGGGCAAAGGTTATGAATAAAGGTGAGGGTAGGAAGGAAGAGGCTGAGACAAGGCTGATAATATGGTTAAAGATACTGGGTGCAGTGGCTCACACCTATAATCCCAACACTTTGGGAGGCCAAGGCAGAAGGATCGCTTGAGCCCAGGAGTTTGAGACCAGCCTGGGCGACACAGTGAGACCTTGTCTCTGAAAACAAAGAAAATTAGCAAGGTGCACTAGCACGTGCCTTGTAGTCCCAGTCACTCAGGAGGCTGAGGCAGGAGAATCTCTTAAGCCCAGGAGATTGAGAAAGTGAGCTATGACTGTGCCATTGCACTCCCCTGGGCCACAAAGTGAAAACCCGTGTCTTAAAAAGAAAAAAATAACAACAACAAAAAACAGATGTTTGATATGATGAAGAAATAGAAGTTGAGAGAGGATGGTAAGAAATGGAAAGATAATTTTAATAGTAGACAAGATAGATGACCAGTCAAATACCAGAGAATCCAGAGGCTGAAAGTCAATGAGAAGAAAGCTTTAATTTTTCTCATAATTATTTGCTATTTATTGCTTTGACATGAAATTTCACTGCAAGCATTTCCATTACAAGATTCAAAGGGAGGATTTTCCTAAACTATACACAAAATTTTCCTATAACTTGGCATTTTTCTCAACTTAAATAAAACTTGAAAATTACTACACAATCATTCCAGGAGTCCGTCTATAAAAGAAGCATCCCATTTATTACTTAAGAAAAGAGCCAAATGAAAAAGTCATAGGCACAAACAAATCTCTGGTGATTCCACGGATGTGTTTTTCTGCAGTGGTATACTTTTTGTGTGTGCATGTGTGTGAAACAGTCTCGTTCTGTTGTCCAGGCTGGAGTGCAGTGGGGCAATCTCGGCTCACTGCAACCTCCATCACCTGGGTTCAAGCAATTGTTCTGCCTCAGCCTCCTAAGTAGCTGGGACTACAGGCCCATGACACCACATCTGGCTAATTTTTGTATTTTTAGTAGAGATGGGGTTTCACCATGTTGGCCAGGCTGGTCATGAACTTCTGACCTCAAGTGATCTGCCCAGCTCGGCCTCCCAAAGTGCTGGGATTACAGGCATGAACTACAGCACCCGGCCCTGCAGTGGTATACTCTTGTCCTGATTCTTTCCTCCTCAGCTCCTCCCAGTGTCTCCATGCAATATCTGTTTCATTCTGGACAATAGCTAAAGAAAAGGATTACCTTTAGTTTTTTAAAAAATAGCATAGCTATTATTAAACTTAGTCATATAAAAAATTTTAAAAAGATTTTTAAAGCTCCAAACAAATTAATAGTCAATTAAAAATTTTTCTGGTCTTTTCCCAGAAAGTATAAGGGAAAGTTAAACATTTATTATGCTCCTGACTCATCTTAAACAGTACAGACCCTCACAAATAAGTCATGAAACCTACTGGAAAGTAAGGTTATAATCCATGGTGCTCAGCATGATGCTTTAGGCAAAGTCAATTCACATCTTTTTTTTGGCAATTGATATGAAATGCTTATTTAGTTATGGGAGGAAGACCTAGAGAAAAAGATCTTGTCTTGATGGAAGTTCAGCCAACTCCAGATCACCAGAGAGGGCTCACCCCGCGTGTGAACAGAAGGCTCTCTGTTCCTCCTCTTCTTCTCCTCCCTGGTCTGGCTGCCACCTTTTGGCCATTTCATTGCTCCTAAGTATAGCATTTCTCCACCAGATGTGGACAGCAACAAGGGGTGACACTAACCAGTGTGGCTTTTTTCTTTTTTTTTTTTTCTTTTTGAGACGGAGTTTCACTCTTGTTACCCAGGCTGGAGTGCAATGGCGCGATCTCGGCTCAACGCAACCTCCGCCTCCTGGGTTCAGGCAATTCTCCTGCCTCAACCTCCTCAGTAGCTGGGATTACAGGCACGCGCCACCATGCCCAGCTAATGTTTTGTATTTTTAGTAGAGACGGGGTTTCACCATGTTGACCAGGATGGTCTCGATCTCCTGACCTCGTGATCCACCCGCCTCGGCCTCCCAAAGTGCTGGGATTACAGGCTTGAGCCACTGTGCCCGGCGGCTTTTTTCTTGATAGCTTGAGTCAAAGTCTATGGAAGGCTGGAACTGACCGTGCGTCTGGTTAACTTGTGGTTTTCTATCACATGTGGTTCCTCTAGCTTCAGTAGTATGGATACGTAAGTGTAAGAGATTGGGAAATGATACAAGAGATGGTTATCTTGTTTTAGGGTGTTTGAGATCTCACTTGATGTCCTACACTTTAGATATGGAAATGATTACAAAGTTTATTTATTTATTTATTTTATTTTTTTTGGGATGGAGTCTTGCTCTGTCACCC